GGGGGAGGGGGACAGAGAGGGGGAGGAGGACAGAGCAGGCGAGGGGGAACAGAATTCAGTCTCTTGCTGAGTGGAGGTGACAGAGCATAGAGTTCAGGAAAGCCGTGATGGCTAGAGTCTGTAGGACTGGACACTAGTGAGGAGAAACTATGAAGAAAAAGTTCTAGAACTCTCTCATCAGGTGCCTGGTGCTCCGGAGTCTTTGGCTGAGTACCAGGGTGCACGGCAGCCACTGGGGCAGGAGGACAGAGCTCATAAGGGGCCGGAACCGTCTGTGTGTCTTTCAGCCAGCATGCAGGGGCCCCCGGAGGCGTTCAGCAGAGACCCAGATAGGTCAGATCTGAGCACTGGCGCTAAACCTTGTGAACCTGCCCCGAAAGGCCAAACACAGGCCTCAAAGTTCAGAGAGAGAGAGAAAACGGGAAGGACATGGCCCATGGGAGAATACCAAGATGCCTAACATACATGTAACTGGAATCCCAGGAAATATTTTTTAAAAAATTGAAAAGAAGTCTGAGAAATTTCCAAATTTGATTATAAATCCACCAATTCAAGACTTGCAATGAACCCCAAGCAGGATAAACACAAAGAAAAACCACACCAAGACACAACATAACAAACTGCTAAACACCAATGATGAAGAAAAAAATCTTAAAAGCAGCCAGAGAAGAAAAAGGAACACTTGTGCACTGTTGGTGGGAATGCAAGCTGGTGCCGCCACTCCGGAAAACAGTATGGAGCTTCCTCAAAGAGTTAAATATAGAGCTACCCTACGGAAAGAGCCCAGATGTGCATCGACAGATGAATGGATAAAGAAGAGGTGGTATATATACACAATGGAATATTATGCAGCCATCAAAAGGAATGAGATCTTGCCATTTGCAACGACGTGGATGGAACTAGAGGGTATTAGCTAAGCGAAATAAGTCAATCAGAGAAAGACAATTATCATATGATCTCACTGATATGTGGAATTTAAGAAACAAAACAGAGGATCATAGGGGAAGGGAGGAAAAATAAACCAAGACAAAATCAGAGAGGGAGACAAACCATAAGAGACTCTTAATCACAGGAAACAAACTGAGGGTTACTGGGGGAAAGGGATGGGAGGACGGGGTGGCTGGTGATGGGCACTGGGGAGGCCACGTGATGTAACGAGCACTGGGTGTTATAGAAGACTGATGAATCACTGACCTCTACCTCTGAAACCAATAATACGTTATATGTTAATTGAGTTTAAATTAAAAAAATTTAAAAAAATAGACCTACCCTATGATCTAGTAATTGCACTACTAGGTATTTACCCTAAAAATAAAAAAATACACATTCAAAGAGACACATGCACCCTGATGTTTACGCAGCATTTTCAACAATAGTCAAACTATGGAAAGAGCCCAGATGTCCATCGACAGAGGAATGGATAAAGAAGATGTGGTCCATATACACAATGGAATATTATGCAGCCATCAGAAAGGATGAAATCTTGCCATGTGCAACGACGTGGATGGAACTAGAGGGTGTTATGCTGAGCGAAATAAGTCAGTCAGAGAAAGACAAATACCGTATGACTTCACTCATATGTGGAATTTAAGAAACAAAGCAAACGAGCAGAGGGGAAAAAAGAGCAGTAAACCAAGAAACAAACTCTTTTTTAAAAAAGATTTTATTTGCTTATTTTAGAGAGAGAAAGCGAACAGGGGGAGGGTTAAGCACAAGCAGACTCCCCGCTGAGCACAGAGCCCTGTGCAGGGCCGGACCCCAGGACCCTGAGATCATGAAGAGTCAGACATGCTCAACCGATGGAGCAATGAAGCCCCCCAGGAGCCCCCAAGAAACTCTGGAGAACATACTGCTGGTCACCAGAGGGGAGGTGGAGGGGGATGGGGGAGACAGGTGATGGGGGTGAAGGAGAGCACTTGTCCTGATGAGCACCGGGTGATGCACAGAAGTGCTGAATCACTGAATTGTACACCTGAAATTAATACTGCCGAAAACTGAAACAATGTATCAACTACACAGCAACTAAAATAAAAACTTAAGAAGTCAAAAAATAAAAATAAATAAAAGCAGCCAGAGAAACAAGATACCTTATGTACACGGAGAGGAAAGACACAAAATAATAGACTTCTCATCAGAAACTACATAAAGTTGAAAACACTGGAATGGAATCTTTAAAAGGCTGAAAGAAAAAAAAAAACCCTATCAACCCAGAATTTTAAACCATATGGAAATATCTTTTGAAAAAAAGAGGGGCGCCTGGGTGGCTCAGTTGGTTAAGCGACTGCCTTTGGCTCAGGTCATGATCCTGGAGTCCCGGGATCGAGTCCCTCATAGGGCTCCCTGCTCGGCGGGGAGTCTGCTTCTCCCTCTGACCCTCTTCCCTCTCGTGCTCTCTATCTCTCATTCTCTCTCTCTCAAATAAATAAATAAAATCTTAAAAAAAAAGAAAAAAGAAAATAAACACATTTTCAGATGTGTATTACAAGAAATGTTGAAGAAAATCCTTAAGGCAGGAAGATGATGCCAGAAGCAGACTTGTATCTATGGAAGGGAATGGCAACCGGTGGGTAAATAGGAGAGACATTTTCCCTCTTTTAAAATGACTTTGAATGATACTCGACCATTTAAAACAATGTAGTGTAGGGTTTGTAACCTGGATGGAGGCAGAATGGAGGCGGGGAGGAGGCAGGATGTTGGTGGGGACCCTGCGTCACAGGTGAAGTAGCAGAACCCTGTGACCGCGCACAGCACACAGCTGTGAGTCATGCGATGGTAAAGCAGACCACGCTAAGTTAAAAATGCAAACGGTAAACCCGAGAGCAAACACTAACATAATAACTAACAAGCCACTGGAGATAAAATGGAATACCCGAAGACAAACTGACTCGGGGTCTAAGTGTCTTTTAATTCAGAGCAAAGCCCCACCTTGCTTCCATCTAGGACAGAGCAGCCTTACCAGGGAACTTGTTAGAAATACAGATCCTCGGGCCCCACCCCAGGCCTCCTGCAATCTGACACTGAGGGGTGTGGGGCCCAGCACCCTATGTGGAACACACCTGGGGGTGCTTCCGACACGGGACTGAGGGTGAGAACCTTTGCCACGAACACGCTGCAGAAACTAGGTCAGCCGTCCTGAGCAGTGTCCCACATTCCAGATTTACCCGCCCATCTCCTCCCCCTGTTGCTCAACTTTTGTACTTGCTGTTGGATGGGAAGGCTTGATGCATTTCCGATGAAACCCTGCCTGGCACGAGCAGCCCGCGGGTGGCATTCGTCCCAGCACCGGCCCATGGGACGCGGGGCCTGCCCAGACCGTTTCCTGCCTCGCCCCTGGCGGGGGCTCCCTCAACACCCCCTCGCACAGTGGCTGCCCTCCGGGGCCTGTCATGCCTTCCGTTTGAGCGCCGACATGGCCCTCCGTGCCCCCATGCTACCTTCTGTTGCTGCTGACCAACCAGGCCCCCTCATTGACTCTCTCAATTGGTTCTTGCAGTTCCCCTGTATGAACCCAGAGTGAAAAGTGCCCCAGCGTCCCTCCCCTATTGCCCACTTTTACAGGGAACGGGACGGAACTGAGTCAGCCGTCCTGCACCTCTCTGGCCCTCACTTTCCTTCTCTGTAAAATGGGCTTACAAGACCGTTTCTCGGGGCCGCTGTGCTGTACGCACCCGAACACGGTAACCGCCGCCTCCCTGAGACCCCTGCCCCCCAGGTCTGTTTCTTTGTGTGTGAAATGCGGACGGGGGTGGATGAACTGCCTCTCAGACCTCCTAAGTTTTAACAACAACGCCTTTCTTTCTTCCCATGTTAAAGTTCTTGACTTTAACAATATAATTTAAGAGCACTTATATGGTACCGCTCTGGGTTGAATTGTGTCCCCCAAAAAGATATGTTGAAGTCTTAACCCCCCAGTACCTTAGAATGGGCTCCTCTTTGGAAATAGGGTCCTTACAGAGGGAATCAGGTTTAAATGATTTAACCTACCATGGCTGCTGTCCTCACGGAAAGGGACTTGGACACAGAGAAGCACATGGGGGAGCCTGGGCCACGTGAATGGGGAGGTGCTGTGTCCAGAACACCAGCCTTCGCAAACTGAAGCGGGGGGCCCACAGCCTCACTGCGGGAGCCATTTCAAAACACACTCTGATCTGGGGTCGGCTTCCAGTGACTTTGCCTCAGGGGTCTGGCGGCAGCCCCGGCCGGCCCAGGATTCTGATGGGAGCCAATGGCCTACCAAGCTGGCTTCTTTCTTTAGGCTTGAGGGGGCGACCTCTTCACTGGAGATGGAGGGGGCCCCTGGCCCAGCCGCCCCTCTGGGCATCCAGATCCCACTGTCACACCCTCAGGGACACTTCCAGAACCAGAGCCGAGCCTCCAAGTCAATCCCAGAGGCTCGGGGATGCAAGGAGCCCCTGAGGACCGCGCCGGGGGCAGGTAGTGGGTACGGCTGGGTCTCGGGGCAGTCCCTGGGCTGCCACACCCTGGCCGTGGTTCACGTGGGATGCAGCCAATCAAGGGAGGGGTCTTAAGTGAATCCCCCCTCTGCAGAGGAGATCCGGCTGGCTCAAGGGGTGATTTCGAGTTCTTGCTATGCCCCCGCTGTCTTTAGAAGACTTTGTAAGACTTGCAGCCCCCGCCCTGTGGCAGCCCCCTACCCCACCCCTGATCCTGCAGTGAAGGTCAGGCTTGAGTGCTCAAGGTGTTCAGGCCCTGGGCCACCCTCACGGCACACAGCCCTGCCACCGGCAGAGGACTCCAGTGCCCACAGGAGGCAGTGGGCCGGCTGGTGGCCCTAGCCCAATGCTGGCACTCCATCCTGGGCTTCCTGGTCCTCAGGGTCCAGAGCTGGCCAGCAGGAAGGTACCCATTGCCCTGACTTGTTCTATGTGTATCTGTGTGCCATGGGGTTGCCGTGGAGGATGAGGGGGACCCCGGAAGGGAGGATGGGAAAGTCCTTTGTAAGCTGGAGGTCCACAAGGACACCTGGCCTCTGGCCCCCGTGCCCACTTCCCCTTTGCCCCAAACCTTCAGGATCTTTTCCAGTTGCTTCTGTGTGTCAACCACAACGACGTTGGCACGGCTGTCATGGGCGATGTGCTGGCAGGCCTCAGGGGAGCTGGTGGTGTAGATGCCAGTGACAATGCCGCTGCAGGAGCCCCGGGGAGGTTCGTGTCTGAACTGGTGCAGAGGGCCTCTCCCTCCGCCCAGCCCGCAGCCCTGCCCAGGGGGCTGCCACGCCCGGACAGGCAGGGTTCCCCTGCCAGCTCAGTACTGCTGCCCAGGCAGGGGGCAGAGGGGTCCCGAGAGGGCCCCCGGGGAGGAGATGGGGTCTGGGGTGGGCATGGGGGCCTCTGAAAAAGGGAACAGCCCTCCTTCCCCTCTCTGCCCACCTCCGACCCACTGGAGACTGTGCCCCACCCCCAGCCACTCACCCTGCAAATACCGTGCCCACCGCCGAGAAGAACCACTCCGGGGAGTTGAAGCCGAGGATAGCCACGCTGTGCGCCGGCTCCAGGCCGAGCTCCAGGACCAAGGCCGACAGGCCAGGTCAGTGGGCACGGAAGGGGGCCTCTCATCCCCAGCCAGGCCCCCTTCCAGACCGCGGGGACCACCTTCCCAGGGCACCCAGTGGGAGAATGCCCTGGGGCCCTCGCTGCCCCTCCCGGCACCTTCCCAGGGAGTCAGGCCCTCCGCCCAGCCCAGCAGGCAGCCCAGCCTGACTCGAATGTGATCACGAATGAAAACCAGGTGTTGAGTGGCTGGCACGTGGGGAGGGCCAGCACGTCCCAGCGGCCAATACACGGGAATGGTTTTACAGTTATTCCTTCTAAAGGCTCACCAGTTTGGGGGTCAGGGAGGAGGCCTACGAGGGTCCAGAGCTGGAAGGCAGGTCTGGGGAGGGAAAGGCTGCATCTCAAGGGGCCCCTCACCTTCAGGAAGCCCTTGGCGGCTTTTCGGGCCAGCAGGTAGTACTGGGAGTAGGAGATGTGCTCCCACGTGCCCTGGCGCTTGAAGCCTATAGCACGGAGGTCCCCATACTTGTCCAGGGTCTCGGAGAACATCTGGTGCACAGTGTAGGGAGGCTGTGGGCAGGTGGGATGGATACGTGTGCGCACGCGTCCGTCTGCCCGCGTTGTCCACAGCTTCTCTGCGGGGGAGGGAGACCACAGCTGGGATCATGCTGGCCTAGGGTCCCCCGCCCCCACCCCCTGAGGCGCTGGTCCTCCCGGGGGGGCAGATCTCCCAGGCCGCCGGTCCCAACGGTGCTTTGGGGGCTGGGCCATGGGTGGAGGCAGATCGGAACCGGGGCAGCTGGGAGGCTGCCTGGAAGAGGAGGTCTGACAGCCCTGAGGATAGGCAAGGCTTAGGGAGACCGTAAAGACACTGAGGGCCTAGACCTTTCCCTGTCTTCATGCCAGTGGAACCTGCCCCTCGAGGCTGGGTGGTCAGTGGTGTTCGGGCCGCCTCAGAAGAGCAGGGCCATCAGACCTCAACGTGCTTCGGGGTTCCCACCCTTCCTCTGCCCCTGAGAATCAGGGACAGACCCAACTGGATGGACGTTCAAAGCCGCAGAAAGAATAGCCCTCCCGACGGAGGACCAGAGCCCAGTGGCTCGGACCAGCCCAAGTAGGGTCCCAGCCACAGGGTCAGCCTTCACTCCTTCTCGTCAGGTGCTGGCGCTGTGCAGAATCCCTCCCGCAGGGACCCAGTCTGCTCCACAGGGGGTGGTGCCTCGGTTTGCAGATGGGGCAGCGCAGCTCAGGGAGGCCCGGGCATCTCCCCAAGGTCACAGAGCCGGTCCCGCGAGCGGTAGGTGGGAACAGATGGGCCGTTCCGTGCGCGAGACTTTGGGCACACCGTGCAACCTCTGAGTCTGTTTCCTCAGAGCAAAGGTGAGGATTTGGACCTCAGGGATGGGGGGAGGGCAAAGGAAATGGTGTACATGAAGGACCCTGACACCTAGCTGGTACACAATAAATGCACATTTCCAATTTTCCAAGTTCTCCAAATTCCAGGAGGCTTGGACGGTAGGTCTAGACCCTTTTGTCCATGGGGCCTCCTTTCCCTGGGCCAGGGCTGTCCTGTGGAGTGGATGACCCTCTGGAGGAAGGGGGCTGCCCTGCCACCGGCTGGCTGGACCGCATGGGTGGCCCCAGCCACAGACGGCACCAACCTCAAAACCATCCTGTGGGATGACCTCGTCCCTCCCCTCCAGACACTTGGGTTGCACGTGGACCCTGAGGTTGACAGAAGACCCCGGGCTGGGACAGGAGAGCTGGTTCCTAGCTTCCAAGGAGGCCACGGAATTTGCCACAGAAAGACGTGGATATGAATGCCATCAGCATCATTTGTAATGGTCAGACATGGAAACCACCAAACGCCCGTCCGCCGGTGACCAGAGTCAAGCCTGGCACCCCACCCCGAACACAAGTCCACCCCAAAACGGCAGACATGGCTGCTATGGGCGCAGCACGGTGCGTCTCACACTGTGTTCCCAGAAAGAAGCCAGAGGATGCCCCGTGTATGGGAACTGTCCAGAGAAGGCGGGTTAGTGGCTGCCCGGTGGTGGGCGTCACCACAAATGGACACCAAGGATCTTTCTGAGGTGATGGAAATGTTCTACAATCAGATCGCAGCGATGTTGGTACAACTGTGAAAATTCGCTAATCAAAAAAATGATTTTTTTCAGTGAAAAATTATCACATTAAAGTGGGTAAATTTGAGGCCATGCAATTATACCTCAATACAAGTTCGCTAATAGCTGGGCAGCTGGAGGCCCCCTTCCCTTCCCTGGTCCCTAAACCAGAAAAGGTGGATTCTCCCTGTGGGCAGGTCCCTCGGGGGCATGACAGGAGAGGGAGAAGCAGATTCCACACTAAGCGCGGAGCCAGATGCAGGGCTCGATCCCAGGACCCTGAGATCAGGACCTGAGCCAAAACCAAGAGTCAGACACTCAACCTACTGAGCCCCCCAGGCACCTCAGGCCCTGTTACTATTGTATGAATCAAGGGTAGCAAACCCAAAATGCCCAGAGGGGCCAGGTGTCAGCATCACAAGAAATAATGCGTAAAGAGGGGTGCGTGGGTGGCTCAGTTGGTTAAGTGTCTGCCTTCAGCTCGGATCACGATCCCTGGGTCCTCAGGTCGAGTCCCGTGTGGGGCTCCTTGCTCGGCAAGGAGTCTGCTTCTCCCTCTGCTTGTGTTCTCTCTCTCGTAAATGAGTAAATCAGATCTTTAAAAAACTAATGCGTAACGACAAATAATACATGAGTGAAGCACTCCAGGGTCTGCGTGGGAATCACGGGACCAGAGTCTGCATTCCCACCAAGAGTCAGGCTCCTTCTCACCGTCCTCGAAACACAGGGCTCTGGGAAACCTCCTTCTGTTTTTCTGTTCTCGATAAAGAACAGTGCTCACGAAGGAGAGCTACAGTCCCAGCGGACGGTAACTATCCCGAGCCCCGCCCCCGCGTCAGGGGGCCACAGGGCATGGTGGCAACGCTGGGCACAGCTCATGGGCAGGGGCAAGCTGGTGCCCTGCAGGAATGAAAACCAAGGGTTACCTGACATCTGGGTGTGTGTGTGCAATCACCCCATGTTTCAATGTTGGCTCACACTTTAAAAAAACATTATGCAGGGACGCCTGGGTGGCTCAGTCGGTTAGGCAGCTGCCTTCGGCCCGGGTCATGATCCCAGGGTCCTGGGATCGAGTCCCACATCGGGCTCCTTGCTCAGCAGGGAGCCTGCTTCTCCCTCTCTCTCCCTCTGCTTGTGCTCTCTCTGTCAAATAAATAAAATCTTAAAAAAAAAAAAAACACATTATGCAGACCAAATCAAACATAGCTGTCAAAAATCACCCATCCTTAATTCTGTGACCTCAGGGAGTCTCTGGCCGTGCAGGCGGGCGGGCAGGGGCTAGCGCCGGTCCCGGTCACTTTCCCAGCCACACACACTCCAACGGCTCCCAGCTTTTGGCCCTCGTTCCAGGCTTTCCAAAGGATAGATTTCTAGAAGTGGGTTCGTTGAATCAGAAGGAAAAAGCCTATGACCCTTGGATGGATATGTCAGACAGAGTTCCTTCGTCTAACTTCTGCTCTCCTGCTAATGGTGTGGTCTCGCCTGGCGGTGCCCGCGCTCTGCGCACAGAACAGAGGGGACCAGAAAAAGAAGGGATGTTGGTGGGCCCGTGAGCCTGGCTCCACTTAGCCCGGCTGACCTGCCCAGGGAGGAGAGCCAGCCTGGGGGATGGGCGCCTTACGGCGGGGCTTGCAGCCCCGGGCTCCAGCCGGCCCTTCTCCGCACCGGCTCCAACAGCCAGTCACTACCCTGCCCATGGAGTGCTGCCGTGGTCACGGCTTGCCGAGTGCCCGCTGTGCTGCAGGTGGGTGGCACGTACCTTATTCCCAGCCTCCGAGGCAGCACAGCTGACCCTCTGAGAAACGGGGAGGCAAGTCACCTGCACGGCTGGGGGCAGAGCTGGATTCCCACCCCCAGGCTAACGCCCAGGCCCCCGCGGAACCCAGTGCCCGTGTCTCCTTCTGGAAAGGACTGTCCTGCCTCCTGCCCAAGGCCTGGAGGGGAGCTCAGGAGCGGTGACATTGGGCAGCGGCCACCACTGCCTTTCCCACATTCCAGGGCTCCCAGAGAGACCTTTCGGAACCCAGATCTGACCTTGACCACAGGGTGCTGTGCACACTGTGGCCTCTGAGGAAGACCCTCTGTGACCTCAGCACCAGCCTGAGTGGCTCTCGGTGCCCCCTGCCCCCACTCCGTGCCTTGGCCCACACTGTGTCTCTGACTGGGACTTGCTCCCCGCCACACAGCTCTCCTGCGCTTCCGGTCCCAAGTACCACCCCTCCCTGAACACTGGAGCCGGCCTCGCTGAGGGTCAAGCCTCTCCCACAGCTGGAGGCTCTTGTAAGCAGTGTGACTACTTCCTGGGGCCCGAGTGCAGAAGCCCAGCCCGGAGCGGAGGTCAGGGGGCCTTCAGGGAAAAAGGAGCTAGCTTCTGTCTTATCCCTGTCCCAGGGTCCCCATGTGTCTAGGGGACCCAGGCCTTCTGCTCTTCCTCCCCCCGCTCACCGGCATGGCCCGACGGTGATGCAGGTCACCTTCTTGCCCAAGTGCTGAGACAGGCTGGCCCACCGAGTGGGTGCCTGCCTACGCAGCCGCGCGAACCTCCGTTCTGTGTGCCTGGGAGCCCGGTTCAGTGTCCTTCTGCCCGAGGCTGCCACAGCTCAGGGGTCTCGGCCTTTGGTGCCAGCTGCCAAGCACCCTCGGGCTTGGGCACTGAACAAAGGGAAGACAGATGAATCTCCAAGCCTGGGGGACCTCATGCTTGCCTTTGTCTCTCAGGTCCATGTAGAGGCCCACCTTTGGGCCTTTGCTCATGCCACTCCCTCTCCCGACCTCATCTCTGTCTGAAGAGGAGATAAATCTCTGGACGATGAGTGAGAAACCCCGTTTTTCGCTATCAGCAAGGCGGGCAGAGCCGTTGGAAGGGCTGGCTGGCCCACAAAGCGCTTGGACCCCAGGCCCGCCCCTGGGCTGCAGGAACGGGCCGAATCTCACGCCCTGGACCAGGCACACAGGGTCACCGCGCCTGGGGAGCTTCTCTCTGCAGCATCGGAGCAGGCCTTGCAGAGAATGGGTGGCAGAGGCCGCGGCCCGCTGGGGTGGGGAGCCTGGAGAAGTGGGTGGTGGGCTGAGTGTGCCCAAGGGTGGCTGCCACCGCACAGGGAGCCACGGGAGTCCATTACTTCCCATCTCCCAGGCCACGCCGAGCTTCGCTTCGTCCCCGCCTGGCCTGTCGTCGTGATGACCTCCCTGGCCGGAGCCATCTGACCTCATCGGCCCACCCGCCTCCTGCCCAGGGTCTCTCCCAACGTGAAGAAGCGCGAAACAGCAAAGAGGTCACCAGCCCGGCCAATGCCGCTCACGACCAGCCGGGAGCGTGAGTCAGTACGAGCTTCCTGGGGGCAATCAGCCAACTATACCAAAGGGCTTCGAAAAGGAGTCCCGTTGGAGCAGCAACCACACTGGCAGGAAGAGCCCGTGGGAACGGAGCAGAGGTCCGGACACTGGGAGCCCGGAGGCCCATCTCTCCATGGCTCTGTTTCTATGAGCAAGGTCACTGGAAACGACCCCGTGTCCCCAACAGGGGACTGGTAAATGCTTCAGGGGGAGCCACACCGTGGATGATAAGTGGTCATGAAAATAAAGTCTTAAAGAGTTTAATGACAAGGAAATGCCTGCAGGAGGACATCGGGTGGAGGGTGGAGCGTGGTGTCAGCTCACCGGCAGAGCGGAAACCATTTGCATCTCGGATCCCAGCACAGCGGGCGCTCCCGAAACCCTCCTTCCTTCTCTCTGGACAGACTCTGAGCCTGTGGAACCACTGCACTTGGCTAAGCCTGTGGTGCCCGTCGGGATACGGACGGATTAGCGGAGAAGTGGTCGGGAATTCCCACACGTGGCACATCGGCGGCGTGAGGGGCCTTCCCTATGAGGGGCAGGGATGGCCAAGGTCACAGCAGGTCAGAGGCAACAGTGGGACCAGGCCTCAGTCAGTCCTGGCAGCCGAATGGGGTGTAGGCGTGAGGGTCCACGGTCCATTCCCTTGGGGATGGGGTTGGGGGAGGAGCCTGGCCCTCGGCCAGACCCAAGCAGTGGGGAGGGCCCATGAGCTGGGGGTGCCTGTCGGCCTGCCGCTCCGAGGGTGGCTCCCGGGGTGGCGGCAGAGACAGAAATTGGGACGGGTTGCCAGCCCTTTAAAGTGTCCCCGACCCCCACCTCGACGTTCAACAGGGACGCAGATCCGCTGTGCCCAACCAAGCTCACGGCTCCAGTAGCAGCCGAGAACACAGCCAGGACCCAGCCGAGGTCCCTGTCACCCAGGAAGGCACCCACACCCAACCCAGCTAGCGGTCCGCGGTCAACCGCCAGCCCCCAGAACACTCGAGACCATGCCAGCTCAGGGCCCTCCTCGCCTTCTCTCGCTCACGTGGCCACCGGTCTTGGCCTGACCCTGGCCTGGGTCTTATCAATCACCTATTATGCTGGGGGCGGCCCGGCAGGCTGGGAGCTGCTGTCCTTGGGGCTCTGGGATCAAGGCTTCTGAAATCACTCTCAACTGGCTGGGAACGAGGAAAAACAGGGGCGAGGGTGGGTGGGGGGGGGAGGAGAAGCCCCGGGGGTGTTTACTGCTGCCGTGGGAATGGCCAAGAACGAGCCTATTGTACAGCTGGAGGGATGCATGGGCCTGGGGTGGCCGGGGCTCTCAGGCCTGGGGCAGATCTGCCTCCGAGATGCTCCTGCCAGCGCCGGACCCCGAAGCCCCTGCTGCCGAGGCCAGCCTGGATGGGGGCCAGGACGCTCCCTCTGCACACAGGGACCCTTTGCTGCGGCCCTTGGACACTGCTCAGACCTGTGCCAGGCACTCGTCGGGATATTTAAGGGGAAGAGGCCATGGCGGCCTCAGAACAGGACTCGAGATAAGGATAAGGCCTGCCTGGGACAGAACAGTTTGTCCAGACCTTGTACAGAATGTATCAGAATGTGACTTTGGCTCCACTGTGTCTGAGGTGGGAGAGACCCCCTCCACCTGCTGGCCACTCACCAGCCTTCTTGCCCGAAGGTTAGGAGCTCTGGGTTGTGGCCACTCAGCAGAGAAAGCCTGGGCAGACCCCCGTCCTTCCTGGGCCTCAGTTTCCCCATCTGAATCACAATCGGGAGGGAGGGACAAGATGGTCTCTGTGGGCCCCCCTGGGGTCACTGCTTTAGCTTTTATGTTCTACCCCCCAGAATTCCACTTGTCCAGGCCTGGACCATGGCAGTGGGGGCGCTGAGATGGGCGTTGCCTGCCCTGTGGTGGGCATGCGCAGGAAACGCACACAGACCCCGGAGCCCGTCTCCTCCTGCCCCACAGAGCTCTGCTTCCCTTTGCCGGCACCCCCTTCAGGGGCACCCCTGGGGCCGGTCCCCAGGTGCCCAAGGTGGTTTTCATGTCATTTTGGGCATGAGCCCGGCCTCGGGGCCTCTCCCTTGTACACACACCCTATCAGCACCCCAGGGATAGACATGAGCAACTCTGGGCCTGGACAAGTATGTACTCAGCCACCGCTAACAAGCCCGGGGCAGCAGCTCTTTCTTCCCATGGGCCCTGTCCCCGGGCTTTAATAAAACCACCATTTTGCCCCGAAGACATCTCAAGAGTTCTTTCTTGGCCGTGGGCTCCAGATCCCACCAAACTCCCCTATATTCCAAAACTACATCAGGCGCGAGCCACTCTGGGCCCAGGGAAGCCTCTAACACACACTTGTAACTTAACAGAACTGGACATTTGATTAGAAAAAGTTTGTACGAGGATCCCCACTGTTTTTGGCTGGTGAGGCTAGGCTTCCCGCTCGCTCCCGTTTCTCAGGGGAGGATCTGCCTACATGAATTTCCCCTGAATTTTCAGTCGGGGTGAGGTCTGTCCTACCTCCCCGCTCCCACCCCCACCGGAGGCTGAAGCGACAGTGGGGACCTCTCTGTCTCCCGCTGACCCCACCCTGCTCCCCAGCCTCAGGCTGCGAGCTCCCCGGGACAAGGCTGTATCTGTCTCCTTCCAGCCAAAGAGCAGCGTGCCTCTGAAGCATTTGGGAAGGGTGGGAGTGAGGGACAGAGGGAGGCCCCGTGCAGCCCTTGACCCGACCACGGGCCTCATGGGGCTAGAAACCCCCGCGTCAGAGCTCCCTGGTGGGCGTAGGAGTCTGCTAGGAAGAGCGGGCGTGGGGGGCAGGCCCTGGCCAGCCCCATCTCCAGGACCCCTCCCCTTCCCTGTGGTGTTGGCCTTGCCCTGCTCCAGCTGGGGTTCATGCTCAGCTAGAAAAAGCTAGAAAGAACTGTGTCTCCGGGGCCTGGTGCAAGGCTGACTGTGTGTGGTCAGATTCAGTGGGCCTACTGCTAGCTCAGAGCCTGGCCTGGGGACAGGAGCTTGAGGACCCTCACGGTTCTGGGAACTCAGGGAGGGCCAGGCGGTTGCTGACTGCAGAAGGCAGGCCTCCCAGAGCTCCCCAGAGGGCCTGCCAGCTCAGCGGTTCGCGGGAGGGCAGGCAGGGGCTGGCCAGGCCCGGAGGGGACTGCGCTGCTACTCAGGGCCCAAAGAGGCAGCGTGGCCAGCCAAGAGTTCCACTTCCTCCGGCGGCGCCGCTGAACCTCTCTGAGCTCGGTTTCCTCCGTCACGTGGGACTGAGAGAGCGCCTCCCCGCTGGGGTTCTGAAGACACCATGAAACACTGCAAACCCCTCAGCACAAAGCCTAGCATGGGGCGAATGTTCTCAGGGGGCAGCCGGGTGGGGGAGGAGGACTGAACCCCTCCTGCCGCCCTCCAGCCCCCTCCCTACAGTCTTCCACGGGGATGCGGGCCTTCTCCCGATCCTACGGAGCACGCTTCCAGACGGGGCAGCCGCAAGACTCCTTCCCACCTCCTTCCCTGCGGAGCCTGGAGCCTGGGCTCCTGGCCTCGTGGGGGAGTCTCGAGAGCAAGCCCCAGCACCAGGATGGCCCGTGGCAGGTGCTCGGTCCTGGCTGGACTCAGATCTCACCTCAGCTGCGCCCCAGAGGCCCCGGGGCTGAACAGGAGAAGCTGGGCAGAGCATGACCCTCACGAGGCTGGCCGGACAGCGCCCCGGGGAGGGCTGACGTCCCCGGGGGCAGCTCTGCCACGCGCCTGCTGACAGCAGTGGTGCCCAGCAGCTCCTTTGGCCCAAGACGTCCAGCCCGGGAGAGGGGCAGCTTGTCTGATGGTGGCGCCTGCCCCGCTGGGGGACCTGAAGAAATGACCTCCCCAGCTAGTTCCAGCTCAAACTACCACTTGCTCCCCAAATCCCAGACCTAGTCTAACCACAAGGAAGACACCAGGCGGACCCAAACTGAAGGACATTCTGCCAAAGATGCGCCGAGTTCAAACGCTTCCCCCCAAACACCCGAGCGAGGGGGCGGTCTGGGAGTCTCTGCTGCCAGGAGCTCCCGGTGGGGAGGGTCCGCACCCCGGGGCAGGCGACACAGGATGTGCCACCCCAAGGACAGCACAGACCCCGGAGGCGGTGACCCCTGCCCCAGGCACTTACTGTTTCAGTTTTTGTTGGACTTGTGCTGTTGCTACAATGTTGTCGGATAGCCAATAAAAACGAAGGAAGCTATGTGGCTACTATCATTCTGATGACTCTTCCGGGTAAATGATATAGCTCCGCCACCCTCCTGGGGCCACTGTCTGAGGGCGAAGTTCTTTGCAAGCCTCCCACACACTCTGCCCGCCTCCAGCCCCCCGACCGGCACCTCACCCCAGGCAACCAGGCTGGGAGCTCCCAGCCTTGCTCCCCAGGGCCTCCACCCATCCAGAGGCCCCGGCTGCCTCTCTGCCTCCGTCCTCCCCACCACTCACTGCCTTCCCTCAGGCTTGGCCCTGACGCAGCCATAAGGAAAGGGGTGTGGCGGGGTCCCTGGGGACCTGGCAACCGGCGGGATTTCTACCTGCTGCGGCCCCCAAGTCCTGTCCTGTTGCTCCCCCAGCTGGCCTCTGCCCGGGTGCTGCCCGCGGCCCTCTAGCACCCCAGCACAGCCCGCAGCCTCCCAGCCAGCTCACCTGACCCATCCAGCTGGACATCCTGCTCCTTCTCTGAGGACGAGAGCTCGAGAGCATGGCTTAGGGACTCTTTGGAGAGCGTCTGCCCATCAGTCAGGGAGCTGCTGGGGAGGGGAGAAACAACGTGAGACCCTCGGGCTTGGCCTGGCTTCCATCCGGGCACCCCGGGGGTGACACGGGCATCTCTGCCTCTGGCAGGCATCTCTGCCTCCCGGTGGGGGGTCAGGGGACAAGACCTCAGTAGCCGCAGGCTAACCTCACCCCACCCAGGCTCTCCCTGCAAGTTCTCAGCACTCAGCCCTGCTCTGCTCTAGTTTGTTGTGTGACTCTGGGCACAGCTCCCTCTGAACTCAGTGTCCCCATCTGGACAAGGAAAGGCTTGGGGGTTCAGCACTGGCCGATTCTGGGCACAACTCCAGTGGAGCCCCTCCTCCTCACTCCCACACCCCCTGGGCCTCAGACATTGGAAACAGCCATGCTCAGAAGCTCAGAGTGGAGCTGAGGACATTTCTAGGGCTCCCACGCGTCCTATGCAGACCCCAGTGAGGACTTCCCCTCCCCAAGGGGGCCTGTGGGAGGCCCTAGCCTATTCCCCCATGGAGAGGACAGGTGTGGGGCCAGAGAGATCTGGGGCTCAGGCCATCTGCCTCCACCCCTTCGCCCCTGGCCCAGATCCTCCTCGCTTCCCAGGCATGGTGGCCCTAGACTATGGATCTCCCCTTCCAGCCGGATAGCACAAGAGGTTATGGGGTCTCTGTTGTCAACCAACCGATCCTTGGCACCATTTCTCCTCAGGGTTCAATTGGCCAGACCTCAACATCCTGGGTGATGAGCAGATGGAGTTCAGTACATGCACCAGAGTCAAGCAGGACTACGGCCTTACACAACTCCACAGGCATATTTCACACTCATCAGTGTGTAAACAGAGCCTACTGGAGTTGTGCAGTGTGCAACCTGTGCAGCTGGTCATGGCAGCCCCAAGGGCAGGACCCTGGCTCCAGGGAGTCCCATCCGTCTGTCAGGGTGGGGCTAGTCCCATCCCTGCCCACTTCCCAGGCTGTTGGGCCAGTTACCTGCTTGTCACATTCGGCCTTATTCCTTGCTGGTACCGCAGGTTCAAACTAAGTTTGCGAACGCACCCAGGCCCACCTGGCAGCAGTCTGCTTAAGAACCTGAGATAGGTTTTAAAGTGAAAGACATCAGGAGGTTATGAAGGGAGGGGCCTGGGGAGAAGGGGGCCGCGTGGGGGCAAGTCGGTTCTTGGGAACTTTGTGAGCAAGGCTCCTCTGTCTGGCACAGGGACCAAGCGACCCCTGTGCCAGGCAGAGGGTTCTGAGTGCGTGGGACTCGTCCTGCCGACTTTGGGGCGCTGGCCGCCACCATTACTCGCTTCGGTCGCAGAGTGGACGATGCATCTGTTTTGGGACAGAGACAGCCGTGCTGGTACCAAATGGTCCCAGAGCTCTGGGCGCAGACAATATAATTAGTGGGTGAATGTGGGACACGCACACACGTGGGCCGAGGGTGCCCCACTGGGAGTCCCTGAGTGGGGACAGTGAACTTGGTGCAGGGTCCACGCTCTGCTGGCCGTGTCCTCAAAGGACGAGTGAGGCCAGCTGCAGGCTGAACCCGGCGCCTACCGCAGACTGGCCTCTGGAATTGCCACCCCCAGATTAGCGGAGGCTGTGGTGGGCTGCGACCGCCCGCCAGATGAGTCTGCTTTAAATCCCCAGCATCAGAAGGTACCGGCAGCATTTCCTGCACCTGATAAAAATGTGTGTAAACTGCTTCTGGTTTCAAAAAAGCTAAATACGGACAAAACGAAAAGACAGCTGCCTAAGGAAGCCGGGGGCCAAGCGAGCTTATCCCGCGTGGAAACTTCTGGGTGTGGGGGCCCCTTTCCCAAGTGCCCAGCACCCCCATGCACGGGCCAGGCTCTGGTGGCTCAGACGCACTGCTGTCCACCCCCCGTCTGGGGTCACAGGGTAGAGCCGGTCCTCCTCTGGGGACTGTGACAGGGACACCTCGCTTACCCCGTGCACGGCCCATGTGGAGCCCTGGGCCGCAGAAGGCTGGATGCCTCATTAAGGGAGGTCAACATCCTGGAAGGGGATGGCACCCTCGCCCACCGTCTGAAACAGACTTCGCAGGACCTCCCTGTGACGTGTGGCTGCTCTTGGGGTCACCACCAGGGACTGATGTCTGGCCCGGCTCCTGACACAGAAGGGAAGGGGGGCCACGCTGCGTGGCGCTGGGGCCTGTGCCCTCCCCGCGGGCCTACTGCCCCGTGTCCGGGCGGGGTGCCACGGCGCCGGCTTCGGTGCTCACCCTCGCCCACGGTCCTGTGGCTGCTGGAGGGGAGGGGGGCCTCCAGCTACGCACCTGCCCCCTCTTTGCTGGCCCCTTTGCATTGGCCCGGGGGCTGAGAGACCAACGCTGGACAAGCCGGCCTCGTCTGCCTGGGGAGCGAGCCCAGGGACCTGGCTTTCCCAGTGTCCTCCGAGGGGAGCCACCCCGACTGCCCTGACCCCTCCCATGCCCCTCTGACTCCTGCCACTGTCCTGGGCGGCCTCGGGGGCCGGCGAGGGACCAGCAGGCGAGGTGGGACCACCGTGATCAGGACCAGCGCCTGTCGAAGGGGATGAGCAGTTTTCCTCTCCTTCTGGAAAACTAGACTCCTCCTGCTTGCACATACCCCCTAAGCACCTTGCCTTACTGGTCTTGCACAGAAACCAAATGTGCTTAGCACCTGTCCGGTTGCTCGGGGGGCGAGGAAGCTCTTGAAGGGCGTGTGTGCATGAATGTACCCTGAGGTGAGGTGCATGGGACGGCGGAGGGGGCTGGGAGAGCCTGCACTCCCTCTCCTAACCGTCTCTGGTCAGTTGGTCTCTCCTTTGTCCTCCTGTCTTGCCCGAGGAGCTGAAGGGGACCATTTGAGGACAGAGCCTACCAAGCCTCATCCAGCTCCTCCTTCAGAAAGCCGTCGGGGATTATCCTCAACACCTTTTCACTCTCACGGCCTTTGGACACTCCAGTTTGGGCCTTGAATGCCGCACGCGGCTTGGTAAGCTCCCTGAGTCTGCCTGTCCTCTGGCCCTGAGATGCACTAAGGTACACAGCTGGAGCTCAGGAAACATCCTCCTCAAGTTTTCACCATGTATGTGACCCACAAGCCAAGAGGAGCCTTCCTTTTCCATGGGAGCCCCTCCTGGAGGGGAGTCCATCTCCTAGTTATTTTGTTGTCTTTCTTCCCTTTCCATCTTCAACAGCCAGGCCACTGTGCTGTATGCAATCGGTGCTCAATAAATGCTTTCTGAGGCTCACCAGAATCGGCCCATCTGGGTTCAGCTCCACTAGCTGTGTGACCCCGGGCAAGTCACCGTACCTCTCCGAGCCTCGGTGCTCTGCGTCAGCCCCGTGTCTGTGGTGAGGATACAGGGTACCTGCAAAGTGCTTAGTGCTCAGTGGCTCTCACATATTGCTGGGGAGCTGTCATGGGTCTTTCGGGGAGTAAGGAAAAGAAAGTTCTTGGGTACAATTGGGAGGGTGACTCAGTGGAATGGAAACCCCCAAACCCAAGACTGGGGGTCCAGGTGCCATGTGGCCCGGGTACTCTCCCTGGGAGGGGGGTGGGGTCCCTGTTCCTTACACGGTCCTCAGGATGGAGTTGGCAGACCTGAGCAGGAGCATCTCTGACATGGTCCCCGTGGGGCGGCCGCGCCCCTCGAGCTCACCCAGGAGTCAGTGGGGACCTCAGGGAACGCATCAGCCCCAGAGAGGCCCCACTCCACCAAACCACCCTGCAACAGAGACACAGTGTGCGTCATGGGCCGTGGCCAGACCGGGCGAGGATGCAGGTGCCCTCCTTGCTGGGCAGGACTCACCGGCTCCTGAGGCTAGGCACCTGACTGTAATTTACTGCCTGCTAAGCCCACACTTCTCATCACATCGAGAACAACACAGACTCGCCTTCGGGCTCCAGTTTCTATTCCCTGGGCCAGGCGCTTAGCAGGATGAGCAAACCAAGGACTCCTGCTTTGTAGACTCCTGACCCCCCCGGCCGCCCTCCCCATTCCTTCTTCCAGTTCTTGCTTCTCTCCGCCCCGGGTGCGAGGGGAGACCCTAACTCCGGGAACAGCAGAGGATTTCAGGGCAGGGCGTTGCCCCAACATTCCCTGGATCCTAAAAGGCCCCAGCTGGAAGAGGAGCTCTTCCAGGACCCAGTGTCCCGGCCACCCCAGCTGGAGCCTGCCATGCCAGCAGCCCGCCCAGGAGCTGCATCCGCACGGGCCTCTCTGATCCCCCCACACAGTGGCCCACCCCCCTCTCTTCTCCTTAGTCCACATGGCCTGTCTCACCTCGAAGATCGGACTCCCAGCTGCTCTCTCAGGTTCCCGGGTTCCTGGCCGAATGCCCCATGGAGGTAGAGTGGACGCCCAGTAGGGCCGGGTCTGACTGCACAGGGTGCTCACCTGTCTCCCCCGTGTGAAGGCAGGGACAGGACTCCGCGTTCCCTGTGCTCCGTCGGCTAAGGCACCAAGTGTGGGAGTTGGTGCTGCCCGGGCTCCAGGTAATGAGGCATGGGGACCCGCCCCGGCCTGCCCTGGGGCTGTGGGTGAGGTGTGGCCCCAGACACCTCTGACCCACCTGGCATGGGCCCCAGCTGCCCACCTGTGAGCCTTACATAAGAGGGTGGGGAGCAAGAGAGGAAGAGGGACCTACCAGTGTGGGGAGGGGAGGCGGGCTGTGGGCTGCAGGACGACACGGCCCTGTGGCTGGGCGCTGAACCTGAAGCCCGCCTGGGCTCCCGTGGCGGGCTGGGAGCTTCATTTTTGGTTTGGTTTCGACTTTTTAACTTTTCTTTACTAAATGCAGGAGCTGTGCCAAGCATCTTCCATGCGCCGGCTCCTTGCATGCTCTCTACAGCCCTGCAGTGGAGGCTTCACCCAGAGCCCGTACTCCAGATGAGCCGCAGAGCGGCCCGGAGAGCCTGAGACTGGCCCGGTGTCGCGTGCCCAGCAAGAAGGCAGAGCAGAGATCGGATCCTGGGTCTCTGTGACCCACTCCGGAACCAGGACACTACGCGTGCTAGATTTACCCATTATCTGCATCATAAAACAGCTTTCTCTCCCCTGTCCCACGGCAGCAAACGCCCCTGCCCCTTGCCCTCTCATGCCCCCTCTACTTCTTTTTTTTTTCAAAGATTTATTTATTTATTTATTTGAAAGAGAGAATGAGAGAGAGAGAGAGAGAGAGAGAGAGAGAGAAAGAGAGAGCACATGAGAGGGGGGAGGGTCAGAGGGAGAAGCAGACTCCCTGCTGAGCAGGGAGCCCTATGCGGGACTCGATCCCGGGACTCCAGGATCATGACCTGAGCCGAAGGCAGTCGCTTAACCAACTGAGCCACCCAGGCGCCCCTGCCCCCTCTACTTCTTCCCCCACTCTGGGACTTAGCAGGATTGTGGCATCAAACCCAAACCTTCTAACACCAGGGCCCCTGCTCCTTGGAAACCCCCTCCCAGCCGCCCCTCCAGCCCTGGGGGCCCCCACCCCTTAGCGATCCCTTGCAAGCTACAACTTCAGGATCCAGACTGCCTCTGGGGGAGGGGAAGACATGCAGGGCCCCGCTGGGCATTCAGGGGGAATTATAAGCCCCACCTGAAGGCCCAGAGGCAGGACACAGGTGGTTCCCTGGTCCTGACCCCAGTCAGATGTCAGATGCCTCCCGACTACCCCAGTAAGCTGGTAGGTCAATGCCCGCGCACCCACTTCCAGAAAATTCTGCCCTTCACCAAATTCCAGTTCCTTAAAGTTCTCTTTTCCTGACAGTGCATGCCCACTGCCACCTCAGGCTGTCCTGACCATCTGGGTCAGGGGTCCTAGCCCTGAGCCTCCCATGGGTCATGAGCCCCTTTGAGAACTGCCAGAAGCCCCTCTCACCCCCACCAGTGCTTTGGAAGGGCTTCCAGCCCCAGCGAACCCCAGGAAGGAACGTAGACCTCCTCTGTCCCCAGGACACGGATGATTCCTCCCTCCTCTTGATGCTCTCCTGCTGAGGGCTGGGCTGCGGCGGCGTTAATGATTGGACTTGGTGCTGGGCATGGGTGTGGGTGGGGGATGGCATCAGAAAGGTCCTCAGTTCAAGAGCTGGCAGCAACCCCACGCCCAGCTCTCTCAGCACCCCTGAGGCAGCTGGATCTAGTTTCTAAATGGACGAGGAGGCTGGGTAAATAGGCTTCTTCCAGGATCAGGATGGCTTGGGAAATGTGTAATCGTCACTTTCCGTCCCCTTGCAAAACCCACAAGCGGCCTCCTGTTCTTCAGACCCCCCTCCTCCAGGAAGCGCTCTGGGAGGGACCCTCTCTGGAGCTGCCCTGGCTAAGCCCCTCCCAGAGCACTTAGCATAGAGGCTGGATGTTATTTTGTTAAACATAACTGCCTACCATGAAATAAAAATCTGAATTAAGCCCACATTCCCGGAGCTGGAAATGATCTGTCCCTTCCCCAGGTCTGACAGCTCCAGGGGGGTCCTCCTTCATGGTCCTCCTGACCGTGAAGAGTGCTTCAACACCCCCCGCACAGGGGGCATGGGGGCCTTGCCTCGAAGGTTGAGAGGTGATGGCAGTGACTAGAGGAGCATTCAAAGTCACTGGGCTTACCAGACCCAGGCTGGGGGGGTGGGGTGGGGTACAGCGAAATTAAAGGAGACAGTTTGGCAAGGAGTGAAGGTTCGACGATTTGACCTGAGGCAGAGGATGTTCCCGAGGCCATGGTGCCATGGAGGAGGCTGGCCCCAAGGGGAAGCAGCTAGGGCCCCAGGACGGACCAGGTCCCGGGGTACCCTGGTCAGGCAGAGGACTTCTAGGGACCCATGGTCTCTCAGAAAGGGTGAGAACAGGGCACGGGTGGTCGAAGCCATGTCCCTCACACCTGCTAGAAGGAACATATTTGGGGCAGGCACCCTGGGGACTGAGCCCCCAGTGCAAGGCTCCCGCAGAGGTGTGTTTGGGGAGAGGCTTCAGCCCCAAAGGCTGGTCCCAGCTCCACCTAGGCTCCTGCCATGTTGGGTGGGGCCAGCCAGCCAGCTCACTTCTAACCCAACTGGCCACACCCAGAGCCTCCAACCCTGTCGGGACAAAGCTCACAAGCCTGCGTGGAGATGAACTCGTCCATCGCCAGGCTCTGTTGCAAAACCCGGACTGAGCTGGGAGGCAATCCTGTCCTGCCCAAGAAAAAGTGTTCTGGGCACTGGGACCTGTGGGTTCATCCCAGGCTGCCTGGGTGGGGCAGGGGCAAACAGGGTGAGGTGCAGAAGGGTGGGCACCCCATGGTCCCATTTTCTGTCATTCACCATCAGACCCTTTTATTACACCCCTCCATCAACTAACACTTTGAAAAAAAATTTTTTTAAAGATTTTATTTATTTATTTGTCAGAGAGAGAACTAGAGCACAAGCAGGGGGAGCAGCAGGCAGAGGGAGGGGGAGAAGCAGACTCCCCGCTGAGCAGGGAGCCCAACATGGGGCTCGATCCCAGGACCCTGAGATCATGACCTGAGCTGAAGTCAGACGCTTAACCGACTGAGCCACCCAGGCACCCCCCTCATTTCACTTTTTTTAAAAGTTCAAACTAATATTTCCTGAGCACTTAGTATATGGCAGGCACATTACATATATTAAGTCATTCAATTACATCAACAATCCTATAAAGAAGGTACTGAATTATAATTCCCATTATATGGGATATGGAAGCACAAAGAGATGAAGTAATTTGCTGTAGGTGATACAGCTAGTAATTGGAATAGTTGGGATTTAAAGCCAGATAGTTTGACTCCAGATTTTTTTTATTTATTTATTTATTTATTTATTTATTTATTTATTTATTTATTTATTTGTTTATTCATCTGAGAGAGAGAATGAGATAGAGAGAGCATGAGAGGTGGGACGGTCAGAGGGAGAAGCAGACTCCCCACTGAGCAGGGAGCCGACATGGGACTAGATCCTGGGCCTCCAGGATCATGACCTGAGCTGAAGGCAGTCGCTTAACCAACTGAGCCACCCAGGCGCCCCTGACTCCAGATTTTAAACTCTGAAGTATCATATGCACTGCCTAAACTTGGGTAGGTCTCCGTGAGGCTCCCAAAACCTCTGCATACAGCTCAGCAACATGGGATTTCTTAGGAGTGACTGACTCGGAAAGGCAGAGCCCTGTGGCTGAGACTCTAGTTGAATGAAATGCATATTTAAATCCTTTAAATCAACATACTCCTAACCTATCATCACAATATCCAACGTATAACAAAAAAATGGCCAGACATCTGAAAAAGCAAGAAATTTGAGCCAAAATCGAGAAAAAAGGCAGTCAATAGAAACAAACTCAGAGATGACACAGATGTTGCAATAAGCATGCAAGGACTTTAACACAGTTACTAACACATGTTTGATAATTTAAAGAAAAAATACAGACGTAATTGATGAACAACGGAGGATTGCCACATGAAAATAGAAAGTATAAGGAAAAGTACAATCTCTGAAATGAAAAGCTTACGAGATGAGCTTAACAGCAGATTTGGAACTATCAGAAAAAAAGTTTGTGAATTTGAAGACAGAATGATAGCAATAATTCAATTGAAAGAAGAGAGAGAAAAAATATTTTTTAAATTAACCTATAACAAAACATTGTTGAAAGTAATTAATTAAGATCTAAACAAATGGAAAGTCATCTAGTGATCAAGAGACTTAATATTGTTAAGATGACAATACCCCCCCGCAAACTGATCTACCGGTCAACATAATCCGTATCAAAATCCCAGCTGAATTTTTGTAGAAATTAACAAGCTGGTCTAAAGTTTATATGAAAATTCAAAAGACCCAGAATAGCCAAAACAATATTGAAAAAGAACAAAGCTGGAGGATTCACACCTGTTGATTTCAAAACATACTACACACCTACAGTCATTAAGACAACATAGTACTGGCATAAGGATAAATGTATGGGGGGCGCCCAGGTGGCTCAGTTGGTTAAGCGTCTTCCTTCAGCTCAGGTCATGGTCCCAG